TTATAGTTTACTAGTAATGTTGTTTGTATGAATTAGCATGATTGTATACACTTGCTACCCAAAGGTATTGAACTGAATGAAGGAACTTTTATATCTATATACATATACATAATATATAACTAAGATTCAAACGACCTTCGGACAAACAACCGATGCCCTAAGTCCACAACCAAACGAGGAACAGGAAGTAAGGTGAGCTATCAGTCCTAAGTCCTTTCAATCCTACTTATATAACTATATCTATATAGGTACACATTTGACAAAAAATATAAGTTTAAAAGAGTTTAATCAAAGTATTTAACATGTAAAAGAGTTTGTAAAACGATTTGAAGTAGTTTGTTTGATAACACAGTTTGAAAAGTAAGAAAATCCACTTGTTGGTGGTTATTAATCACATGTGATTGATATAATAACTGTAATAATTCAACTTGTATTCCCCCCCATAAAAGCATTTAAAATCATTTAAAAATGTTGATTAAGGGGTATGAACTCACCTGTAGTGAGTGGTTTGGATGAACGGATGGTATAGGATGCTAAGTGTCAAGTGAAGACTTGAGCACACACACGGATCCTATTTAACATATAATGACACATATATGTATCTAATTAGTCAATTAACAACTAATTAAGTAAGTAAAGACACCCTAGGACATGGAAACACTTTAATTCAAGTGCTAGAAGTACCAAAGGGTTGCATCTAAGGGAAGTATGGCCTCTCATTGGAGTTTATGGCCAATATGGATGCATCACATGAGTTTACGGCCCAAGGGTTAAACCCCCATGAGTTTACGGCCGTAAACTCATGGTAATTTGTACCAAGTTGTGTTTTAAGGTCTTATAAATCATAATGAAGTGCTCTATGTTCAAGTCTAAGCCTTAGGAAGGATTGGTGGCACATATGCACTAGTTATTAGTGTTTACGACCCAAGGTGATTGCCTTGGCCGTAAACACCATTTGTTCTTGGTTCTTTTGATGTTTAAGGTCCTATACTCTTCTTCGAAGTATTCTAGACTTGGTTCCAAGGCCTTGGAAGGGATTACGGCTCACTTTGCCCCCTTAATTAGGGTTTACGGCCCAAGGAGTTTGCCTTGGCCGTAAACACCTTATGTTCTTGAGGAAAACTTGTTTTTAAGTCCTTGATTCAACATACTAACTAACTAACAAGTATAGGAGGTACGTACTTACAATATAGAAGCTTGTAAGGGTGATTACGGTCCAAGAACACTAGTGTGTGTTCTTGGTGTTCTTGGTGAAATGAAGAACACTTGAAGATATATCAAAATGGAATGATTTCATGGATGAAATCAAAGGGTTGTACTAGATAAAGTGTTGTAACAACAAATCAAGGGAAGAAATTCTTACATTTTTGGAAGACTAAGATGAAGATCTTGATGATAGTTGAGAGAGAATGGGAGTTCTTTGACTTGAAATGAAGGAAAATGATGAAAATGATGTAAACTCATGCTTAAGGCATGAGTTCACGGCCATGGATGAGTTTACGGCCCAAACTCATAAAGTTTGGCCGTAAACACCTCATAATGGGGTTTAAGTTTGATTTAGGTACAATGGATTCAAGCAGATACTTCCTAACACCCGATTCTTGAATATACTAGGCTTAGAATACTCGAATAGACTCTAAATAGTGCTAAATGATAGTAGAAACAAGTCTGACTTTGGTTGAATTGAATGACTGTACAAGATAAAAATTTCGGGTTGTCACAAGTATTTATTCAATCCATGTATAGTATTTATTCATCATAGTGAAAAGGGGTAGAAAATCCTTTTGTCAACATGTACTAATGAGAAACCATCAGAATTAAACAACCCTCGTATATTTTCTTTGTTTATTGTTTTAAAGGTACCTCAACGAAACCACCAAACACCGCACCGTTAGGGGGAACAAAATAGATAATATTGCATCAATAACATAGATGAAGCACAAAAGCTACAATTATGAATCCTCATTCTTGTCAAATCGATAACATTAATAACCAGAAGCAATATACCTGACTGATGTTCACTTTAACAATATGCCTGATTGGGGCTAAGTGTTGCTTGCAAAACTACAGAAAGATTTGGAAGATCCATCCTTTACTCTCCGATCAAAAATATGTGACTGAATCAATAATCCTCATATAACTGCCCATAAAATGATGATAGTCTTCCAAGGTTTACAGAAGCTTGGAAGATGGAGAAGAGAATGATGGCCGACAACATAGAAAGAAGAGTTTGTATTTAAATCATTAGAGATAGCAGCAAAGATTAAAATTTTGGGTTGTTTAACGACAATTGGTTGAATGGTTGAGGAGAAGAGCGAACTCCAATTTTCTCGACTCATGGGATCATTCCAATTGAACATCAAGGGCCTGTTTTGATCTTACAATCGAACCATTGAACTTTATACCGTTGTAATCCATAGTAATTTGCTTACATTTTCTGCGAATTTCTCCTCAACTCGTTGGAACCTCACCGAATATGCATGAACCCTAGCATAATGGGCAATAGACCTTCTGCAAAAAAAATGACGCAACAGTGAGGAACGTGGTTGGTTGAAGGAGAATCTTGGAAGGAACCTGAAAACCGATTGAACGTAAGAGGAGAAAACGATCGACTGTGAGGAACGTGGGGAGGAGGTTGGCCGATTAACCGTAATTATTGAGTTATTACGGCTGAGATTTGTTGGACGGCTTTCCACTCACCGTCAACTATAGTATTAAGAATTAAATGGTTAAACCCTTTACGCAAACAAAGTATATTATAGTTAAAAAAAAAATAAAACCCAATACTTAAATCAAAAATATCCGATAAAGTCTCAATATATAGGGCCAATTTACGTTTTAATCATAATTTCTGTTTTTTTGAACAAAATAATCTTGATTATTTTATGTTTTGCCTAAATTAACGAAATAATCCTTATTATTTTCAACATAAATGATAGATTATTGTATAAAATTAAATAATTGAGATTTTTTCGTTCAAAAAATAAATATTAAAATTAAAACATAAACTGACCTAAAATATTGAGATTTTTTAGAAAATTTTCATAATTAAATTGATAAAAATATAACAATTCATTAAATTTCTTTCTGTTATCTCCCGTGCGTCAATTTCCATTTGTGGATGAAGGGTTTTGTCGTTTTTATTTGGGATAATGACTTAAAAGGGTAATATATTTTTCGATTTGTACATATTTGGTCACTGAGTTTTTTTTTTTCGTCCACATTTACCCCTTTAACTTGTTAAACTGTACACATTTAGTCCTTATGACCGGTTACTCCAGGTTAGCCGGTAAAAATGACTTAATAGGGTAATATATTTCTCACTTTGTACACATTTAGTCCTTAATATTTTTGTACACATTTAGTCTTTAATATATTTTTTGTTGCAAAATAAATCATTTTTGGTTTTGTACTCATTCAGTACTTATGAATGATTTCTTTAGGTTTTTCTCATGACATCTTACGTAGGATAGCCATATGGTGGTGGGATAGATTGAGGTGATTCTGCTATGTGTTGTATGCCAAGATACCTGGTGCGGGCCGGCTGAAAGTCGTAGGCACAGGGGCCCGAGAATAGCAGTAGGGTTGAGGCGGCAGGCCAACAAAACCTGGGTATTCTAGTCCGATGACTGATTGGACTTGTTGAATGTTGGCATTCCAGTCCGATGACTGATTGGGCCAAGATATTCCAATCTGATGAGTGTGAGCCTGTTATGCATGATAATACGTTTGTTGTATGAAGTATTTTTGGGAGAAACTTACTAAGCTTTGTGCTTACCCAGTTGTTTATGTTTTCAGGTTCTATCGTTGATCGTGGAAGGCGAATGCAGGACTGTACACACTCACCAGCAGTATTGAGGATTCCGCGTTTCTTATATTACTCTGATTTTCGATAAATGTATTTTGAAATAAACATTTTTTCTTAATAATTGATTTACAATTAGAGAGTTTTGCCTTATTTAAAAATAAAAATTTTTGGTTGTGAAAATGAAACGTTACACATAAACATCAACAACCCCACACACTTCATCAATGATTTTCTCACGTAAGATATCGTGAGAAAAACCTAAAGAAATCATTCATAAGTACTGAATGAGTAAAAAAATAAAAATGACTTATTTTGAAACAAAAAAATATTAAGGACTAGATGTGTACAAAAATATTAAGAACTAAATGTTTACAAAATGAGAAATATATTACCCTATTAAGTCATTTTTAACGGCTAACCTGGAGTAACCGGTCATAAGGACTGAATGTGTACAGTTTAACAAGTTGAAGGGGGTAAATGTGGACGAAAAAAAAAACTCAATGATCAAATGTGTACAAATCAAAAAATATATTACCCTTTTAAGTCATTATCCCTTTTTATTTTCCCTTTATTTCATGAGTTTATCAAATGGCAAGACGCACCCTTGAAGAAACTACATAAATAGTCCCTCAACTTCTTTTTTTGTAAATAATACCCTCAACTATTCTTCAGTATTCAGATGTTATTTACGAAGAAGGGTAAATATAAACTTACATACTCTTACCAATTTATATGATGAGGTAAACCTTTCACCTGTTCACACATCTTTTTTTAAATTTCTTATCAGAAATTTACTTATTTATGAATGTATAAATTTAAAAATCCTATTGAGGTACATAAAAACCGATAACACATATAAAGATCCATGCACAATTTGGTAAAAGATTGAATCCTGTGAATAAATTGGTGACATTTAAAAATCCTACTGAGTTACATACATTGATAACACATATAAGTCATTAGCCCATGGAAATACTCCTTTCATCCCAAAACAAATGAAAATAATAATAATCTCAAGTCCTAAACTTGACTGTACTGATAATAGTTTTTGCATCAGTCTTATATAACTATTGGGTTATAGATAAAAACAAACCAAAATCATCTCAATTTCAAATTTTACATACATAGAAAGACAACTCTCCTGTGATACTTGGTGCATCTTAGAATCATCAGTAGAAGATGACTTATACTTTTAGGTGTATATGGATTGATCTTCAGATTTGAATCCAAAGATTTTCAGAGCTTTCAATAAAGAAATACTTTGTGGAAGATGACTTATACTTGTACCTTGTACGTCTAACACTTGTAAACATTTCAAGCTTCCTACTTTCTCAGGCAATTTCTTAAGTTGATCACAGCAGCGAAGATCAAACTCCCTGAGATGTTTCAACTTACATATGCTACTCGGAATATCTCTTATCTTGCAATATGTTACACTAAGTTCCTCCAAAGATTCTAATAGCCCAAGATCCTCGGGTAACTTCTCAAGAACATAACACCTTGAAAGAAGTAGAGTTTTCAGGCGTTTCAACATACAAATGCTGTTTGGGAGATGGTTGACAAGTGTCAACCGTAAATTTAGCCATTCTAAACTTTCTAAATGGCCAATATCTTCGGGTAATTCCTCTATCGGACAACTTTCAAGGTCAAGGTCTTTTAGATGTTGTAAACTACATATGCTTTGTGGTAGACTCTTGAGGTTTTTGCACCAACTGAGATCTAGAGAAACAAGCTTTTGAAGATTTCCAGTTGATGAGGGTAGTTCTTTGATATCGTTGCTTGAAAAGTTAAGCTTCAACAACTATGGTTGGAGTGCATTGGAAGTATATCTGGAAACTCCGTCATATATAAATAACTTAGATCAAGAACTTGAAGCGAATCCAATTGTTTGATAAATGAAAGAGATTTTAATAGTATGCATTCACTTAAGTCCAAGCAGACTAGCCTTGTTAGAGATCCAATGGGCGCATGAAATTCTACCAAATGACAACAGTTTGTAAGATTTAACTTCTCGAGATTAGGAAGTAAGCCACAATCAAGGGTCCTCAAATGTGAATAACTGAAGTCAAGGAATTTGAGGTTTTTAAGAACCTATCACAAGCAAGAAAGAAGAAAAAGATGAATATTCCTATAATAATTAACTAAGATGTATGGCATTAAATGAATCAATCAACTATTCTACCTTTCTTTCTCCATCTTCCCATAGTTGTATAATTATGCTGGAAGAAATTTGAAGTGAAACTAGATTATTTGCTTGAAATGCTTTTGGTAAAGAACAATGAGGGAAACGTCGCCAACTCAAAAATCGTAACGCATTTGGTAAGTTTTTGCCAACTCCAATATTCACTGGCCAATCCCGTGTGTCCGAATCCACATGAAGAAATCTAAGATTCTTCATGTTTCCGAAACCTTTTGTAAGAATCTCATAACAGGGACGCTCCTTGTCACTGCTTGAATTGATTTGAATTGATATAGCTCTTGTCGCTTCTGTAACCTGTAATCCAAGGAAACTGATTATTAGAGTTGATTCATAAGTAATTAATGTGAGTTAGTTTTCTCCACATTGTAAGTAAAATTCATCCTTACCAGGCCCTTAGCGAAAACATCTTCAATCTCCCCTCGAATCCACAATCGGCTATGTCTTATGGGCTCATTTGGGTCCGAACGACGAACAATATTCCGGCCCATTTCCTCTATATGGTCATGCATGCCTAACTCCATATCTGGTGAGATAGTTATGAGAGATTTTTGCTCAAGAACTCTTAAGCCATTCCTAGCGCGAAATCCACAGCTTTCAAGTGCTCTAATTGCTTTGTCTTTCTTCCAACCTTTTAGTAAGCATGCAACATCTAAGAATATTTCCTTGTAGTCATCCTCTAGGCCGGTATAGCTTAATTCTAATTTTTCGAGCGTTTCTTTCAATGGAATTGTTTTTAGTCTTTCTATTGCATCTTCCCATTCGAGCTCATTTTGCCCGCAAAGAAACGAACCCAAAACTCTAATCGTTAAAGGAAGACCAGCAGCATAATGTACAACTTTGAGCGATAGCTCTTTGTACGATTGATCCGGAATATCTCTACCAAATGCATACCTACTCAAGAGGCATATTGCTTCATCTTGTGATAACAAATTGACATCACGAATACATGTCACTCCATGTGCTACAAGAACTTGCTCATCTCTTGTTGTGATGATAATTCTACTTCCTGGTTTAAACCAATCAAGCCCACCAGCTAATGCTTCCAGCTGGTCTAAATGATCTACGTCATCTAGAATAAGAAGAACCTTTTTACTACACAACATCTTTCTTATTACGCTTTCCCCCTCATGAACACTCCCTATGGTGTAACTTCTATTATTTAACACATTGAAAAGTATTTGTTCTTGCAACGATCGCAACGCAAACATTGATGATTTTGAAACTTCCCTAACATTCTCAACAAAGCTTTTACCTTCAAATGAAAAGCATATTTTGTCAAAAACTGCTCTCACCAAAGTTGTCTTCTCACCACCTCCAATCCCCTTGATACCTATCAAGCGAACATCTTCAATGCCCATTTCCATTAATGAAACAATATCCTTTACCCGGCTCTCCATGCCTATTAGCTTTCTGTCGACTTCCAAATTATTGAATCGTAACTCGAGTGAAATCTTTTTAACAATTTTATTGATGACTTTAGCTTCGTGCCTGTACAATAAAGTAGAGTCAGTTAGCTTGCTAAATATTCACATGAGATGCTCCATGCTCAATATTGCATTCTTCATCATTGAAATAGTCGATTTTGGTTAGAATTTTACAATAAAACATGAGATGCCATGGATGACCCTTTTGCACATAGACTAAACAGAAACAAAGCAAAAAATCGTTGAGGCGTGATTAAAGAATTACCCATCAGCAGTGTTCCTCAAATCCCATCCAGCCAGATTGGATGCTTCTCTCCACTTTTCTACCTCCCCCTCGTTGTTATGTATGGAAAAAGCTTCTCCAAATGGTCCCAGTTGTTTGCGGACTTCAGAGGGATCTACATCGTAGAACACAGGGTAAGCAATTTGTTCAATCACCTTCTGGCACTCCATAATCTTCACAAGCTCATCCAAGCACCAAGAGGAAGATGCATAGTTCTTTGAGAACACAACAATGTAAAATTTTGATTCTTCAATGGATTTCAAAAGCTCATCGTTGATCTTTTTTCCTTTCTCAAGTCTCTCATCATCCTTGAATGTGTGAATACCTTGAATTTCTAGAGCAGCATAAAGATGATCAACAAAATTCTTACGGGTGTCTTCCCCTCTAAAACTCAAGAACACGTCATACTTATAGCTCTTCTGAATAGATAACTTTGAAGAAGAAGCCATTGAAGTTATCCTTGACAGATCCTGTTAATTAATCGAATCAAATCTTTGTTAAAGCAAAGTTTTCCTGTAATGAAAAGAAACTATAAGTTAAAAGTTAACAACTAACAAATCTCAGTTAATACCAACAATTAACAAATCCCAATTGCAAACCTTAGCTAAAACTTACTACCCACAATTAAGAATTAACATCTAAAAAGGTTTAACTATGAATAGTTTGCAATAAAAGGCCTATTAACAATTAACATATAATTTCAAACTAGAAGAAATTGAATATGTGTACCTAATTAAAGAGAGCCCCGAGAGCAGCAGAGAAAGATAGACCCAAGAACAGTAAGAAATAGAGAGAGAACAATATAACCTTTAAGCAGTGTAGTAGGCGGCAGCAGCAACCCAAGATTGTGGATCCACATGTAAGTCAACATGATGCCGTTTGCTTGAAAAAAAAGCTATGGAACGAATTACAAGAAAATCTATATGTTTATTATGTACTAAAAGTCAAACCATCTTCTATTCATACGTAAAATAAATAAAAGTCCATTATACACCAACCAACGTTTTATTTTTATTATATTATTGGACGAATAAATTACAAGAATTCTATATGTTTATCACGATTTTTAGGTTTAGTCTAATTATGTTATATACTTATATTAATTAAACCACTTTAGCAAATATTTTACATGCCATTTTAGTATATAGCTATCACCTTTTGCACAACGGCACTTCCTAAAACATAAGGTATGTAAATCAACATCACCGATAGAGAAGTAGGGTATTATTTCTTCTACCATTTGGAGTTGGGTGTTCATGTTTGCATGTGATATTACATTATGTGAAGTAAATTTGAAGGTGTTGATGTAAGATAACCGACCTTGTAACTTGTAAGGTTCATGATTTCAAATATGGCATCCGAATAATGATCGACGCACTTCTCTCCATTTGTTTAGTTACTTAACCGAGGTTGGTAATGGCTTCATCCCCATGCAAAAAAACCAATGAAGACATTGATGTTATGGACGAGAACATAAATGATGACATGCCTGATAGATTCTCTATGTATTTTGAAGCAAATGAGTTTAAAATGACTCAATAAATATAAGGATCCTTTGTTGAGTATACAGCTGTGTAAAAAGAGCACATTGCGGAATTCATTCCCAAACAGGGAGAGATTACTTCAAAATGAATAAAAAAAATACATGCAATCGAGCAATATGTGCGTATGGAGGATTTAATCGTGCATTCTTGTGAATTCTTAGAGACGTTGGAGTTCATTGAAAAGATGCCTTATAATTAACCCAATGCTGCTATATAAGGTTCTTTATTGGGTGCATCTTAGCATCTAGAATCCATTCAAATCATGAAATGGTAGAACATGCTGCAAGATCCTTTCTTGAAATGGAACCCCGAGAGTTCTAGAAATTATATATTATTAGCAAATATTTATTCAATGTTAGGAAAATGGGAAGATGCATTGAGATGAAAGAGAGGGGTTACAAAGCTCCCAGATGTAGTTGGATTGTAGTTGATAGAAAAGTGTATAGCTTTTATGTTTTTGAAGATAATTCGTATCCTTTTATGGGTATCCTTTTATGGATTTAGTTTTGAGAAAGATTGAGGATGCGTATACAAAACATATCTAACCGATTGTCAACAAGATATTTGTGAATAAGGTCCACACTCCACACAAACGTGAGACTTATCATCATTAATGTCAAAAACATTCATCTGACACACCTCACAGTGTATCTATTATAAAGCTGACCCGAAACCCTAGTTAGGGAAGTTCCTTTTCCAGAAAAATAAACAATGTATCTATTATGCATTTAAACTTCTATAATATCAAATTCGACAAATATGCAAATATATATAATGCTCAATTGCCAGTTGTTTTTCATCGTCAATAACTAGTTAACTACCACAAATCCGACCTACCAAGCAAAAGTAGTGTTTCCGTGTACGAATTCACAGTGGAGAAACTCCTTATTCCACCAATCTCAAGAGTAGTGAAGCTTTGTGAGTTGGGCTCATATACCGCAATTTCACTTTCTCCAAGACAAACATCTATCACTTCCATTACAGGTGTGCCACTCTTCCTGAGTCCTAGGATTCTAATTGACCCATATTCTTGTGCAATAATGGTGAATAGCTTTGTAAATGATTTTTGAACACCATTCTCCATCATCCATAAAGATACAGAACACATTTCTTCCAGGCTTTCAAATATGACAAGAGATTCCCTTAGTTTAGAAATGAACAACTGAGTGGGAAGGCAGCCTGCTAAAATGTCTGGGAGGTCTATCACTTGAAAAGTATCATTAGTCATATCAAATGACAAAATCAGATTAGAAGTCCATCTAATCCAACTACAACCATCTTCAGCCACCATGTGTCCTCCAGACCAATATAGAAACCTATCAATAAATTGGACATCCTGTCTGACTTGGACTGATTTACTAGGCACATTGCTAGAAGTAGACAGTCTTTTCCATTTCCCTGAACTCAATGTATAAACCATAATCTTTTGAGGGTCGTTAATGTTGCTGACCTTTTCATCTAACTGACAAAGTTGTGGAATCATCACGATCTTAGGATCATTAGTAACAGGACAAACACCAAAACCAAAAGCTGATTCATCCATCCAATCGTACATATTAAACGGATTCACAGGCACAGAAATAGCAATCGATTTTCTGATTGAAGGATTCCAAAATACAACCACCGGCTCTCCAGAATGAGATTCATAATACCCATCCAAGCACACCAACCCATTACAGCTACCGACCATTCTTGACATTGTAAGCAGTTTAATAGAGGGGGGAAGAGTTGGAACAAACCTCTGTTGGGGGAAAGTGTCATCATCGACGATACAAACAAAGTGTGGCTTCCTTCCTACCAGATACCTTACAAACAGATGTGGCCGCTGATCTTGGCCAACGGTGTGAGCAGCAATAAAACGAGAGCTGTCGATTAAACACCTCCATGCTTTGCACACACATCTAAACCGAGCCAATGATTTTACAGGAAGCCTTCTCATGATTTCCTCTTGTACATGAAAACAAATTTCGCCCGACATTTTGATTTTGGGTGCTGATGGGTTAATGACTTGCTAGGGCGTGGTTTGGTTTTTATAAACGGAGAATTGGATACGTATAATTTGGAGTAAATTACACGGAAGGTCCCTGTGTTTTGGGGTAATTTGCGTGTTTCATCCATATCTTAATTTTTAAACTCGGATCATCCCTACAGTTAATTTTTGTTTCGCATTTGGTCCCTGACCGACTTAAAAATACTATATTGCCCTTGCTGATATATTTTTCATTTTCTTTAATTTTATAATTATTGATTTTAATAATTCCATAAATATTAATTTAAGTGGGCCCACTTCAAACCCCACCCTTTCTCCCTCTGTGTTAAAGATCATACGCGAACGACACCCCATTCACCACCGACACCGACACCGCCACCGGGAACAGATCACCTTCAGGAACACCACCGGTCACTTCCGGCGATACCACTATCACCTCCGGCGACACCACTGTCACCTCCGACAACACCATCCACAACCAAATCAAATAAAACCAAAAACAAATTCAAATCTAAAATCAAAATCAATGCCAAAAAAATCATAAAATTGGTGAAATCAAAAGAACCTGATGCATAACATCTTTCAAATTCATCATCACCAAAAACCCAATCAAAACCCCAAAGACCAATTATAACGAGAACGAAAAATCTCTCATCCCTTTCTCTAAATACGAGCTACGTGACAATGGTTCAAACCCCCTATTTTGATTCCGCCACAACATACAATCAAGTTTTAAGCTATTAAAAACCCTAGATTTTCCCGGATCTCCATAAATACTGCAATAAAAAAAACAATGGAAGGTTAGCTAGCGAGATCAGAAGCAGCGAAACGAGTGGGAGGAAGGAGAGAGTATTTAGGATTTCATGGCGGGGAAAAACCTTAAGAGGCTTCCACAGAAACCATGGTTTTTTGGCCACCATCTCCGGTCATATATGTTTTCTGGTCACTATTTTAGCTGCTTCATATAGAGACTGAAGAGAAAAAAATGATAGAGGTTGTCTCAGTGTATCTTCCGGTAAGCATCGTCTTTTTCCGGCAAACTTAATTTTTTCTCCGACGACTTCTGGTGCGGTGATGTTGTTACTTGGTTTGGGAAGAAGAAGGGGGAGAATGGAATATTACCAGGGTTGGGAAGAAGAAGGGTAAGACAAAGTGAGGGCGACTGTCGATCGGTATTTGAGATGGTGACGAGACGTTAACGATGAACAAATAGGGCAAAATGGTGGATTTCTTCAATGAAATGAGGCGATGAATACAATGGAAGTGGGTGGGACCCATTTTATTAAAGGTTTTCTTTTATAATTTCTTTTAATAAATTAATTATAAGCAAAACAATTAAAATAATAGATAAGGGTATATTTGTCATTTAAAGTGGGTTAGGGACCAACAGTGCAACAAAATCAATTTATAAGGATGGTCTGAGTTAAAAACAAAAGTTAGGGACTTAACGTGAAAATTACTTAAAACCATAGGGACTATTCGTGTAATTTACTCTATAATTTAACATTCATCTATCCATATTGTGAGTTAGAGGGTTTTATTGATTTTTCATTGGGTAAATTACATCATTCGTCCCTCGTGCACATGTCAGAAAGCGTGTTTAATCTATATTTTCAAAAATTAACTCGGATCGTTCCTCGTTTGGTTAATAGTTGCACGTTTCATCCCTCGTTAGTTTAAATTTGCGAGCTTCATCCCTTGCGAGACCTAAAATGACTATTATGCCCTTTTAAATTTCTTTTCCATTTAATTTAATGTTATAATTATTATTTTTAATTTAAAAATAAAAGAAAAAACCATATGGCCCCACTTCATACCCCCACCCCGACAGATCATCGGATGAACACCACTTGCATCTCTCAAACACCATACTTCGATCGCCACCTTCCCAATTCCACCCTTCTTTCTCAATCATATACCTTATACCACCTTAAAACCCACCACCAGCTTCCTACCTCCTCCTTTGACGGGTTACACCACCATCAGAACACCCATGTTGCACCCTTGTTCATCGTCACAAACCGCAACCAACATCCACTTTAAACCTTACCTTCAAAATCGGAAAACCCACCACAGTCGGAACCGTCGTACAACCTGCACCATTCGAACATCATCGGTTCATTGCCTCCAAACAACAACTACCACCTGCCTTATACCACCCTCGAAGCCAACCATCTCTATCCCCCCAGTTTCTGAACTTTATCTTTACCAAAACTACCTAGAACAGCAACCAAATCAGCCCTTGAAAACCATCTTAAACACCGCCCGGAATGTGATCACCTTTCCGTCTCCGTTGTCGATGGAGATGATTTGTGTTCGATCTGAACCCGCTTCTCTGATCTGAATCTCCATCATCTTCGATTTATAAGTTTAGGGTTTAGTTTGGTTTCATTTGCAGGTTCAGGGTTCATTTTTTGAGGTTTGAGTAATGACTGGTGGTGATTGTAGGAGGTGTCGGCGGTCTGTGAGACAGAGTGAGAGAGATGACCGATTGAATTCAAAGAAGAAGAAGAAAGGAAATTGGGGAAAGGATAAATCACAACTTACTTCTTTCTTTTCGATCTTCTGATTTGCTGCAAATCGAGAACAGTATAAACGAGAGGCGACTTAGGGTTGAGTGGAGATATGAGATGGTGGTGGTGATTGTGGTGTTGTTGATGATTCCACCGGCGATGGTGGTGCTATTGATGATTCCATGTACAGTTCCTTCTTGAGTTCTAGGGTTTGATAGAGACGATTGGAGGAGGATGAAGATCGATTGGTCTGATTTTGGTTTATCGCTTTGGGGTGAAGGTGAAGGTGGGGGTGATGGGGCTTCGCCGGCGTCGGGAGTGGTTGAGAATGGGGGGACAAAGGTAGAGGAATACGTAGGAGGGGGAAGCGGGGAGGGGTAGGTTTATGTATGTATATTTATTGTTTTTTTCCTTTTTTTTAAATCTAAAAATAATAAACAAATATAAAAAAATTAAAAAATAAATAAATAAGGGCAAAATGATTTTTTTATGTCCAGAGGGACGAAACGTGCAAGTTTTAAACGAACGAGGGACGGTCCGAGTTAATTTTTGAAAATAGAACTAAACATGCTTTCTGGCATATGCACGAGGAACGGATAGTGTAATTTACCCTTTTTCATTTAATTGGTTTTTAACATCTTTAAATCAATCGTAAACCAAATTAAACAAATTCAGTTTAATTGGTTATTTGGTTTATCGATTACATCAAATAAATTTTCACATGAAAAACAAAAATATTTTGGATTTCTAAACGGTTCTAACTGGTATTAACCAATCAAAATCGATCAAACTTTTAAAAAAACTTTAACTCACAAAAATAAAACTACATCCGCTTCAAACTGCATTGAACAATTTGGAGCCCGTTTTTTTTTCTAAGATCATCCATATCAATGTAATGTAATTGCTCTTTTAAATATATGACGTTAGATTTTGTAATTATCTATACCTCAATATAATATCAATCCTTTAAAAAAAAAGCTTCACTGTCACACCAACAATTAATTTATATTTATCTTAACTTATATATTAATTATATACAAAAATTGATTATCCATTAAAATATAAATGTGAATAGATTTACATATAATTAAATCCTAAATAATAATTATAAATAATAATAATAATAATTTTGATTGTATATTTTAATGTGACATCCCCAAATTTCTCGGCCAGAAAAAACCGATCTAGTTTATGCTTTTAAAATAAAATCAGAGTAATCTTCCAAAAGATGTTGCAGAATTTGTCCCCAAAACGAAACATGATAAAAATTTATCAAAGCATTTCTTAAAGAAATATATTTTCATTATATATCAAAACCTCGGGATGTCATGTTCCGATACAGACCAAAAGCATAAACAATACGATATAGGTCTTACAACAGTTATTTACATCTACTGGCCTATAATCCAAAAATCAATCGTCATCATCCAACTATGCTCGGGGTTCACTACCTGTAATATAAAAAGTTGAGTGGGTCAGGCTTTGAAGCCTGGTGAGCATATAGGGTTTTCAACCCACAAATAATAATAAATTTATTAATTTCATCAATCAATAATAAATTTATTTAATTTCATCAACCAACAATAACCCTGATTACTCGTTCCCGTTATCCTCACTTTACGTCCCTAAAAACCTATCATAAGGGACCTAGCCTAAGGATTTTTTCATCGGGGTGACAACACTGCTTTAGGGATTCCTCAGCAATTTATGTCAAAAAAAGGCAATCATGAGGGGGATGGAGTACACCAGCGAACATATAGTTCACCAACACCTACAGGTTGCGAGCCTGCTAGCGTTCCACTGGACTTTCTAGAAAGGTCTGTGATCGTCATCTATACTCCGCTAGATGACTACAACAACAACAACAACAACATCGAGGCCTCTCATCATTTTAACACACATCAACTATTTCATCTACCCATGTTTTACCCAACATATTTGTAGATAAAAATACATATACAGTTTAAGACTTGTATAAAACATCTATTCAACACCCATCTCAAATAAACAAACAATATAATTACACATAGCACGTATTTTATAGAAAATACTCCATATATATGTGTAAGATGAAAATGACTACACACTCACTTGATAAGACGGTGATTGGACAGCACTTCGTCCCTTAAAACAATCTTTTTCGATGAAATCGGGATGTTTTCTCAAAAACCGGGCTTCATACGGGCAGAGTTTCGTCTTGAAAAACTCTTTTCTCGGGATCTTCGGACTCTCCGGGGCTTGCTTACGATGCTAGGATGATATTATAGGCTTGGGGGGTTTTAGTGTAGCTTGGAAGAGAGAAAAAGGGTGAAAGATGAAAATTTTGTAACCATTTTCGGGGCAGCCTCACATCCTATTTATAGGAGGCCGAAGCTCCTTATTACGCTGGGCGTAATTCTTCGGTACGCGGGGCGTACTGCCTCGGAAGGCTCTTCGTTGGGCGTACGAAGTGGATCATCTCGGACGCGTCAAGAC